TTTAATTGTTTATTCTATTTATTTTCAATCAAAACCCTAATAATAAGACTTAATAAAAAATCCAGATTAAGAGGAGTCGAGCCCTCATTCAGACGCACGTGCATTTTCATCCAGTTAGTAAGTTTAAAAGGTGGGGATTTTCCATGCTATGTTCTAATTCTTAATAAACTCAAGGTATTTATAGCAGAGATATGTATATGAGTATTTGCCTATGAGTGGGCATTGCCCGCGAGTGGGTACCAGGACAGGATCTCCCGCCGTGTGGGTCAGCGTTCCCGGTGGTGAGGTGTACACCCGAGTTCGATTTGCCGTGCTGTGTGGGTTAGCGTTCCCAGCCGGTAAACCAACAGATGAGCCATGTTATGAGACCATGATTTACTTATTTATATGCCAATGTTATCGGTACCTGATTTTATCATGAATAATTACATAGTATGGAATATTGATGAGCACGTTGATTATTGCTCAGCCCCCACAATTATAATTTTCAGGTTAGCATACCGGGCGGGACTCAAGAGGGGCTAGTGGTGGTCATATGCAGTTTACTTATTGCTTCTGCTGTTGAACATTTTATTTTCCGAACATGACCTTATCAGCTATGTTAAAAATTGTTGGATTCCAGTTTCAGTTTTTCAATTCATTTATAAGACTAGTATCGATCGCTCTGCTTGGTCTTAATGAATTGAACATGTTTATGTCGGGATCAGATATCCTGAAATGATTATAAGCTGTCATGACAGTAAAGCTAGTTATATGTTTAGTAAGTACCCTCAAAGCATGTTTTAAAAGTTAAATTATTTTTGAAAAGTTCGATTCATTTTTAAAAACCCTGATGATTTTAATGTATAAGTAGAGGGTGCTTACAGTTTGGTATCAGAGCGCAGTTAGCGTTTCTGAATACTTTTGAAAATTATGACCACTAGCCACCTTGAGCCGCTCCGGAACCCAGGTATGAGTTAGTAAGTCAGTCATAACACATGCATGTTTATTTGGGGCTTAGAACTTATCCTCCTTTAATTCTTGAGAACTCTAGTTAAGTTCAAATTTATGATTTGAACTTTAATCAGTTATTTTAAATTCTTCTCGCGCATTATCTTCAGAAAATGCCTCCAAGACGTGACCCTCAGCAGCAGCAGCCCCGAGAGCAGAATCATGTCCGGGTTGTTGCTCAGTTCAGAAAGATGTCACCACCGGCTTTCACCGGAGAGGGGGGACCGCTCTCAGTAGGCGACTGGTTCCTTAGGCTGGAGCGCATCGTTCTCTTGATGGCGTGTACTGAGGCCCAGAAGGTGGTCTGTGGGGAATACATGCTAGAGGGCGAAGCTGGACAATGGTGGGAAGACTATTGGCGCCTAAAGCCAGTAGACGAGCGAGACGCTTGGACTTGGGCGCAGCTCAAGGTGATCATCATAGAGAAGTACTATCCTCGTCATTTCCGTGACCAGATGGAGAGAGAGTTTATGAGCCTTAGTCAGGGGAACCGCACTGTGGCAGAATACGAGTGGGAGTTCTCCCGTTTGAGCGCATTTGCCCGACATCTAGTGGATGCAGAAGAGAAGAAGGCCATTCGTTTCCTGTATGGCCTTAAACGAGACCTCCTCCTGCTAATGGCCGGCCACGGATATTTGACCTATGTCGAGACGATTGAGAGGGCCCAGCGACTAGAGATGTGCCAGCAGATGGGGTCCCAGTCACTCCCTGTTCGACCCGCTGACATAGCCCAGCCATCAAACAATGCCGGGAAGAGAAAGTGGAATGATGATCTCAAAGGGAAGGGCAAGAAAAACAGGCAAGACAACAGACCACCCCAGGCAGCCCAACCAATCCAGCAAGTGCCAGCCGACCGCCCACCGTGTGCTATTTGCGGCAAAGGACACAAGGGAGAGTGCTTAGCTGGCAAGAACTTCTGCTTCAGGTGCAAGAGGCCGGGGCACATGGCTCAGAATTGCCTCGAGCACGGTCGGGATCAGCAGCAGTAGCCAGGACCAGGAGGGAGAGCCCGGGTGTTCTCATTGACCCAAAATGAGGCCACAAATAATCAAGGTACTATGTCTGGAATGCTTTCTGTGCATGGTATACCTGTATTCGCATTGTTTGATACCGGAGCAACGCACTCCTTTATTCATTGAGTTGTTTGCAGGCGATCGGAGTTCAGAGTGTGAGTGCAGTCGATGCCCTAAAGGTTAGCCTAGCCTCGGGGAAGACGATTGTTACGAACACTATGGTGCAGGAATTAAAGATGAACATCGGTGGACGAGATCTGGAGGCCGACACCTACGTAATAAACATGAAGGACTTTGACATTATTCTAGGGATGGACTGGTTGACAAAGTACTATGCTGACATCAGCTGCCACCAGCGAGAGGTGACATTGCATTTGCCAGGAGATGATCGGATCGTGTTTTTCGGAGCCCAGACTAGGACTGTACCCAGAGTTGTATCTAGATGAAGGCGATGAAGAATCTTCGGAACAAGGGATGTCAGGGCTATTTAGTGAGTGCCGTCGGGAGCCAGAAGGAGGAGCCGTCTCCCGAGTCAGTGTCGATCGTTTGTGAATAACGCGACGTTTTTCCAGATGAGCTTCCAGGAGGGCCACCGAATAGACAAGTGGAATTCACTATTGACCTGATCCCTGGAGCTGGACCGGTGTCCAAAGCACCATACAGGATGGCACCGAAGGAGCTGCAAGAGCTCAAAACCCAGATTCAGGAGTTGCTCAATCTCGGATTCATCCGACCGAGTGTCTCGCCATGGGATGCGCCTGTACGTTTCGTGAAGAAGAAGGATGGCACGTTGAGAATGTGCATTGATTACCATTGTAACACCCCTCTTTACTAAAAATTAGAGTGCGCTAAAATTCGCAAGTCGTTTAAAAATAAAACCTTTTTACTTTGCGAAAACTGATTCGGGGTGCTACTGTTAAAAATCGTGACTTAACTTAGAAAACCGTTATTTTAATATAATAAAAACGTCCGGTTACTGAAAACTAAATTTTCTTAAAAGTTCGTTAAAGTGATGAGTTCGTCAAAAGAGTACGTCAAAAGAGTATCCAAAAACATCATCACAAGTCATCAAAATATAAGCGGAAGCGTAAGTCATAATCATATTTATACAGTCCAAAACATATAAATATCCTGAAGTCCCGTCACGTCACATCACGCTCCCAGCCCGACATCCTGACCTGAAAAACATGATAAAACTGGGGAGTGAGCACTAAGGCACTGTGCTCCGTGGAAACTGATACTAATGTAAAACATCGTAAATAATAACAATATCATGAACTAAGCATATATAACTGAAGTGAACTGATATCTGATACCGGTCTGAACTCGCGACATAAGTCACGTAACTCATAATTGAATCTGTCGGCACAAACTAATACCGCAATCTCCCGGCATCAACTAATACCGGACCATGTGCACACTCTAGTGGTTAGATTAGGCCACTAGAACCC